TGGGATTTTTATGATTTGGAGTCTCACATTTAGGTTTCTCATCCATTCTTTTTTTTTTTTTTTTTTTATTTATTTGAGAGAGAGAGAATGAGAGACAGAGAGCACAAGAGGGAAGAGGGCAGAGGGCAGAGGGAGAAGCAGACTCTCCGCCGAGCAGGGAGCCCGATGCGAGACTCGATCCTGGGACTCCAGGATCATGACCTGAGCCGAAGGCAGTCGCTTAACCAACTGAGCCACCCAGGCGCCCTCTCATCCATTCTTAATTTCTTTCTGTGTATGGTGTAAGAAAGTGGACCAGTTTCATTCTTTTGCATATTGCTGTCCAGTGTTCCCATTTGTTAGAGACTGTCTTTTTTTTTCCATTGGATATTCTTTCCTGCTCTTTTGAAGATTTTAACTGACCATACAGCTGTGAATTCACTTCTGGGCTCTCTATTCTGTTCCACGGATCTATGTGTCTGTTTTTGTGCCAGTACCATACTGTGTTGATCACTACAGCTTTGTGATGTAACTTTGAAATCTGGAATTGTGATGCCTCCAGCTTTGCTTTTCTTTTTCAAGGGGGCTCTGGCTGTTTGGGGTCTTCTGTGGTTCCATAAAGGTCTTAGGATTGTTTGGTTGTTTTTTTGTTTTTAAAGAAATACAGTAATTAACTTCAGAACCTGCTTGCTTTAGATTCTGTGGCTCCCCTCATCAAGTCAGAACTTAAAAATCAGTGTATGTAACCCTAACCAAATAGGTGTATTTTTTATCTACTATGTTACAGTAAAGACCCACAAAAAGATATAATGAACAACACAATACCCACCTCCGTGGTTAAGAAAGAAAATCTTATCATCACAGTCAAATCCCCTTTGTGAACTATGTCTGAACACAGACACTTCAGGGAGGTGCGAGCTAACACCTCCGTCTGTCTGCACTTCTAGATGCTTTCACAGCACATGTGCACAGCCCGGCAACTCCATCACCCATGTCTGTATCAGTGGCAGCATACCTTACGTAATCTTCCACACCGGGGGGAGATCTGTGTCTACACTGACTTGTATAGTAATGACGTATTTTCCCTGATGCGTCCCAACATTAACTGATCACAATCTATTTACCTATTCTACATGGTAACTTCCCAGCACATGCTATGACGTTTCTGCACAAGCATCCTAGTGTTTATAGCTAAAACTTTTTCTGGAGTATATATCAAAAGGGGATTACCTGTCCTTGGCATGAGCATATTAACCTCAACAGATGCTGCCCACTGGCCTCCATCTCCCTCCCACCAGCAGAGTGGACAGGTGGAATCTTTCTCTGGCCTCACATCTCTCCAAAGCTCATAACTGTTGGATACTGATTTTTTTCCAGTGAAATAGAATGGAAAGTTTTTCATTATGGTTATAATTTGCATTACAACTGAACTCAAGAATCTTTTCCATACTTATGAAGCTTGCCAGTGTTTCCTTTGTGAGCTGCCTCATTATCTCTTTTGCCCATATGTGTATTAGATTATTTGCCTTTTTCTTAATGAAAAGGCCAAATACGGATTTTTCATTTTTTTTTTAAGATTTTATTTATTTATTTGACAGAGAGAGAGAGATAGCAAGAGCAGGAACACAAGCAGGGGGAGCGGGAGAGGGAGAAGCAGGCTTCCCGCCGAGCAGGGAGCCCAATGTGGAACTCGATCCCAGGATCCTGGGATCATGACCTGAGCCGAAGGCAGACGCTTAACGACTGAGCCACTCAGGCGACTTTGGATTTTTCATTTTTTAAAAAATGTACATAAAATGATCAAACTAGATAGCTTGAAACCCTAAAAATACCGTTCAGAAGAATCAAGGTTATATTCAAACCACCACCCATCAATTTACAGCTTCGTACTAGACCAATTCACTGGGTGTTAAACATTTTGTGGCTGAAAGCTTTACTGCCTGAAAAAGAATAATACAGAGTAGTTCCCAAACCCCCAACGTTAGAGACATTTCAGAAGCTTGGAGATGATCTGTGTTAATATCTAGAAATGCTGCTGACTCTGAGGAATTTGAACATAATCTAAGATTTGTCCTCAAAATGTACTTCCCTCTTCAAAATATTTAACAATTAACCAACATCCTAGAAATATAACTGTCCTTAATAACAACTTTCTTACTACCTAGAATTAATAAAGCTTTGATCGGAAATGACTAAGAAAACCCAATCATGTTTGGAGACTTATTTTCAACTGGTATTAAGCTGTTCCTTATGTGAAGGTTTCAGGCCACCCAAATGCATGGTAACACTCTGTATGACTTTTTTTTTTTTTTTTAAGATTTTATTTATTTATTTGACACAGAGAGAGACAGCGAGAGAGGGAACACAAGCGGGGGGGTGGGAGAGGGAGAAGCAGGCTTCCTGCTGAGCAGGGAGCCCGATGCGGGGCTCGATCCCAGGACCCTGGAATCATGACCTGAGCCGAAGGCAGGCGCTTAACGACTGAGCCACCCAGGCGCCCCACTCTGTATGACTTTTAACAACAAACAAGATATAAGCATAACCCAGAAAGTGAATGTCTGTATCTCACATGCTCATTTAGCATCATTTGCTGAGCACTGTGTATCAGGCCTTGGGAAAACAGAGCCGAAGCAGTCTATGTCATCCAGAAGTTTACAATACATGGAAGAGAGAAAGGAGAGCACCCACTGAATGCACTTTTAGACTTCCCCCTCCAAGCTTAGTGTCCTCAGGGTAGTTCTAAGGCACTGCCACAAAGACATTTTGTGGAAATGGTTCTAGAATCATCTTTATAAAATACAGTCTGAGCTCTGACTATCCCAGACAAGTTCTCTCTTCTTTGGAAACTGGGATTCTGTGGGAAAAATCAGCCCGCTGGTCCTTATGATGGTGAATCATCACTCAAGGAGGCTCAGCTCTGCAAATATAGCTACAACCACTCAGAGCTAGCTACATCTGTTCAAAGATGTAATAATGCTAGCTCGGTTATAAAATATGACCTGGTTTCCCTGCAGAGCTCACAAGCTGGTTCTGCAGCAGAGGCCCTGGGAATTTCACCTGCAGGACCTCTCACTGACTGAACCCTGCTGATGACCACTGGGAAGTCGTCGAGTGGAGGCATAAACCAACAAACAACTTCTTCAGGTAGCACAGCCAAGGACACCCCCACTCCAGGGGCATTTCTGTAACCTTCCAGCCCTATGTGCCTAGGCAAGAAACACCTTTGCAGAGTTGCTGTCCTCTCCAGCCTTCCCTGACCATATACACCATATACTCCCTGGGCCCTGAACAGTGAAATGTGCCATGTCAATAACCTATGGTTGGTACAGAGTAAACACATTCCCTTCACAGAATGTGCATCTCATCCCCAAGTCTGGGAATGGTGTTATGCTGAGAACCAGGGGTCTTCATTCAGGAATGTGGATAAACCCTCCCTGGCAACCTCCAATAGCTCGCCCTGCCTGAGGTCTCCTCTCTCCAGCTGGGAAGCCACCTCCAACACTGGGCCTCCAACAAACCCATCTAATGACATCTCCAACAGGTCTGACCCTAAGCAGCAGCTGGAACAAGATGCTAAAAAGCCTCTCATGGTCTGTTCGATAGGGTTGGTAAAATCATAGTGAAGGATAGGCAATGAGAAACAATTAATGAGAAAATTAAATACAAAAGAAATAGTGGGTACTCAGAAAGGCCGGGAGTTGACCTGATTCCTGAAATCCAGATCTCCCACATAAAACAAAAATTGTGTTTGTCCAGCTCTTGAGTGTCAAGGACAAAGGCAGCACCAGTGTCATGTAGCAGCAGCGGGGAAAGATGAGCCACCACCAGGAGAGGCTCAGGGTCCAAACCAGGTTCAGTGCCAGTACGACGCCCAGTGGCCCTCCGCAACCCTAAGATCAGCGTGCAACCCCAGATGCCGTGTGCATGCCTGGGTGACCTGTGGCTGGAGGTGGAGGACAAGAACGGATGCCAGTGGTGAGAGGGGAGCTGCTGACACAGCACGCCCTGACTGCTGGGGGAGAACAAGAAGTGCGTGGAGAAGAGGTGGACAGCGGCCTGCCGCCACCTGGTGGCACTGAGCCCCCCAGCCGTGGCGGATGGAGCCTGGTCTAGGCTGTGAGAGGCTGTGGTGAATGTGAGAACTGTCCACAGAGAGCGCAGCAGCCCTCGCTGGTGCGGCAGGAAGGGATCCCCTCGGAAGCCTGGAGGCCAAGGCTTGTGAGATACACCACTGCTGCAGACAGCAGGCCTGCCATCCAGCACAAAGCACCTCAAGAGGCCGAGCATCAGCGGGTGCGTCTGGCCCCCAGATATCAGAAGTTTCTAGATTTGGAGAATCTTCCCACAAAACAAGCAGATAAACCAGGGCAAGTGGGAAATTACACAGCCCAAAAGGACAGGACGCTGAAAGAACGCACTGAGGCCGAGTCACAAGAATGTCCCACTTGTTACTCTGTGGGTATGTGCCACCAAAATGATGGCCCTGGGTCCCACAGTAGAATCAAGTCTATTCCAAGGCCACCGGCCCACAGGGACTTCAAGAGGAAGCAAAAGGAACAGGGCACCACGAGCCACCCTTGATCCTGGGAAATGTGTCTTTCATGTCATGTCATGGTAAACCCAAGGCCACCCAAACTCGAGCAGAGCGGGCAGATGGGCCCTATGAAGCTCGTCACAGCACAATGGGAGGAAAAGGGCTGAAGAGGAGCCAGGAGAGAGGGGGAATTTGAAAATGCTGAAGCAAGAGATGACAACTAACTGAGCAAAACCCCAGAGGGCAGCTAATCAAAACCAGAGGTGGCAGTGGGTGCCTGGGTGGCTCAGTTGGTTGGGCAACTGCCTTCGGCTCAGGTCATGATCCTGGAGTCCCGGGATGGAGTCCCGCATCGGGCTCCCTGCTCAGCGGGGAGTCTGCTTCTCCCTCTGACCCTCCCCCCTCTCATGTGCTCTCTCTCTCATTCTCTCTCTCAAATAAATAAATAAAATCTTTAAAAAAAACAAAAACAAAAACAAAAACCAGAGGTGGCAGGACCACTCCCCCAAGAGCCCCAGAAGGCCACAGATTCATCTGACACGTGAGAGAAAGTGAGGGTGGGTGGGTATCATTGAGGCAGCGTCGTGAGGAAGTTCACACCCACACCCCCATTCTCCCTGGGGAGCAGGAACGAAAGCCTCTGCTGGGAGCCCGTCTGCAGAGGACTGAGGAACAGCAAAGTGGCCAAGGTCACAGAGTCTGAAGTCTGACCTAGCCACTGTGAAGACAAGAGTGGAGACTGATGAGGACACAGAGAGGAGTCCGACAGGAGCTTCGGGCCAGGAGAGGGTGACATGGTGTGGCTGCACTGGGAACCTTCTTGTCCAGCATCACTGGGCAGCCCAGGCTGCAGGAAAGGAGGCCAATGGCTGGTCCAAGGCTGGAGCGTCGGGAAACGGTGGCGAGGGACCTGAGGCTGCTGACGTGTATGCTCCATAATGGGATCCCGGTGTGCTAGATGCAAGGGGAAGCTGGGGAAGGTGGCAGGGTGGTCGGGAGGGAAGAGGAGTGGTGAGCAGCAGGCACTCTCAGCAGGGCTAGGGGAGTAATGAGCAAAGGAGAAGGAACAGAGACAGTACAGACCTAAGCGCTGCAGTGGGGTCTGCCATTTCAGAAGCTGAACAAAGGCCAGAGTGTGGCCACAGGACTGGATTATTCGCAGTGTAGAGCACCAATTATCTCTGGAGCTGAGAAAGGCAAGCAACCCTGACATCAGAGTATTGAAAGAATCATCCACAAACATGATCAAGTCATTCAAAACAGCAGGGAATGGTGGACAGAGGAAGCCACGATCCCAGTGCTTGCTGAGTGGACAAAGAGAAGCAACGGTGGACGGGGAGATCCTGGCTGCTTGAAATCTGAAGAAGGAAAAGGTTTTATATGAAGTGGAAAAGAAATGGTTTTTTTTAAATGGACTTTAAAAATGAAAGCCAGGGGGCGCCTGGGTGGCTCAGTTGGTGAAGCGTCCGCCTTCAGCTCAGGTCATGATCTCAGGGTCCTGGGATGGAGTCCCACATCGGGCTCCCTGCTCAGCAGGGAGTCTGCCCACCCCCCGACTCATGTGCTCTCTCTCTCTAATAAATAAAATCTTAAAAAACGAAAGCTAGGACTTACAGTTTCAGTTCTGCACATTCAGGAGCTGGAGGCCACCACACCATCCTAACAATAAGTAAAAAGCTCAACACACTGAAAAATCAACAAGTCCTCTTAGATCCCAAGGACTGGGGAGGACACAGGGCAAACTGTTACCCCAAGATGAGAAAGAGACAGACAGGTGAGTATAGGGGGTCACAGCTTACTGGAGCATAGGGTCATGAGCGGAAGCCACTGCAAGAACAGAAGCAGGGGCAGGAAACCTGAGCTGACCTGGTGAACCTCCAGAGGCTCGGCGTAGACAAGTGTGAGAATTAACAGGTTGAAGGGGACTCAGTCATGGCGGCCTCCACAATAGCATGACACGTACCTCCGGGAGCCCGACCAGGCTTCCAGAGCAGGCACAGGGGAAAAGCACCCACTCTGACACATACCCGGGCACTCTGTTCTTCCCAACAAGGCCTGCCCTCAGGGGAAACGAGTCAACCAGAGCCTAACTCTAGGGAAAGGAAATAACCAACACCAGCCCACTCCAGCAATCCTCTTCCACTTAAGGGGGACAGGGGGAAGAAATAACTGAGAGACACTTGTGAAGTTCAGTGTCCAGAGCAAAGGCTCACTGGAAGCATGAGCCCTGATCACAGGACTATAGAATGTATCCCTCCCTCCCAACACCTCACCACGGTACTAAAGGTTATTCACAGCAGTTCCTTCCCAGGACATCTGGCTATCAAGAAAAAAAATCACAAGGCAAAAGGCTAAAGAACACATTTGCAGACAGAGAACACAACAGAGCCAGACATGGCCGACATGTTAGAATTATCAGCCGGGAATTCAGAACAATTCTGACTAATATGCCAGAGGCTCTGATGGGTAAAGCAGACAGCATGCAAGAACAGATGGGCAAATGTAAACAGAGAGATGGAAATCCTAAGAAAGCACCAGAAAAAAACACTAGAGACAAAAACACTGTAACAGAAATGAAGAATGCATTTGATGGGCTTCCTAGTGGACTGGACATGGCTGAGAAAGCATCTCTGAACTGGAGGATATATCAAAAGAAACCGGCAAAACTACAACACAAAGGGAACAAAGACAAAAAACCAGAGCAGAATGCCCAAGGACTGTGGGACGACACAGAAGGTATGACCTCTGTGAAGTGGGAACAGCAGAGGAGAAGCGAGAGAGAAAGCAGCGGAAGACATACCTGAAGCAATAATGACTGAGAATCCCCTAAACTACCGTCAGACAGCAAACCACCTCCCCAGGAGGCTCAGAGAACACCAAGCAGCGTAAGTGCAAAAATCAACTACACCTGCGAACATCATTTCCAAACTGCAGAAAATCAGAGATAAAGAAAAAAATCCTGAACAGGGAAGCCAAAGGAAAAAAACACCTACCTAAACGGGACCACAGACAAGAATTACACCGGCTTCTCCTCAGAGAGGAGAGCGAAATATTTAAAGTGTTGAGAGGGGAAAAAAAACAAAAAACAAAAAACCTAGAATTCTGCATCCAATGAAATTATCCTTTAAAAAATAATGGAGAAGGGCGCCTGGGTGGCTCAGTCAGTTGAGTGTCTGTCTTCAGCTCAGGTCATGATCCTAGGGTCCTGGGATCAAGCCCCACATCAGGCTCCCTGCTCAGTGGGGAACCTGCTTCTCCCTCTGCCTGCAGCTCCCCCTGCTTGTTCTCTTTCTTTCTCGCACTGACAATAAAATCTTTAAAAAAATGGAGAAACGAAGAGTTTCTTAGACAAAAATTGGAATTTGCTGCCAACAGACCTGCCTTGCAAGAAATGTTAAAAGCTCTTTAGAGAAAAGGAACATAAGTCAGAACTCAAATCTACTTTAAAAAAAGAAAGAGGTCTGAAGAAGGAATAAGTGAAGGAAAAGTAAAAACTTGCTTTTCTTATTCTTACTTGATCTATCAGCAGTTCATTCAAAATAACAGGCACGACGTCAGTCAATGATCATGACTTGCAGGTAAGGAAGTGCGTGGCAGCAGGGACACGAGGCATGGGGGGCTAGGAATCAGGATGACCACGTGACCAGAAGGCACTCCTAACACCTGGGAGCTGACACGGTATTATTTGAAAGAAGTGGATTAGTTGTAAACATACTGCAAGCTGTAGGGCAGCAAGGAAAACCAGTGAAAAAGTAGTTTAGCTGATTCGCTACAAAAGGAGAGAAAACAGAACCGTATAAAATGCTCAATTAAAACCATGCAAGGCAGAAAAAGAGGGGAAGACAAAAACAGGACAAAGACCAAAGGCAACAAATAAAGAAGAGTCACGGGTGTGGTCGACATTAGTCCAACGGTATCAGTCATTACTGTGACCGTCAATGGTCCAAACGCACCTATGGAAAGACTGACCATCAGAGTGGATCAAAGACACAGCTCAACTGTATGTAGTCTACGAGAAGCCCACTTTAAATATAAAGATAAATATAGATTAAAAGTGGGGCACCTGGGTAGCTATGTCAGTTAAGCATTCAACTCTTGGTTTCGGCTCAGGTCATGATCTCAGGGCTATGAGACCAAGCCCCACACTGGGCTCTGCGCTGGGCATGAAGCCTGCTTAAGATTCTCTCCCTCCCTCTGCCTCTCCCCCTTCCCCCCCTCTAAAAAAATATAGATTAAAAGTAAGCAGATGGAGGAAAATATACCATTTTAACACCAACTGAAAGAAAGTAGGAGCAGTTATGTTAATTTCAGACAGCAACTTCAGAACAAAGGAAGTTACCAGGGATAAAGAACGGTATTACATAATAAAAGAGGGTCAATCCTTCAAGAAGATATAACAATCCTTAACATATATGCACCTAACAACAGAGCGTTAAACCATGTGAGGCAAAAGAATTGCAAGCAGAAATAGATAAATCCACTATTATAACTAGAGACTTTAACACCCCTCAGACCACAGTGGAATTCAACTAGAAATCAGTAACAGAAACATAACTGGAAAATCCCTAAGTACCTGGAGATTAAACAACATACTTCTAAATAACACATGGATCAAAGAAGTCTCAAGAGAAATTTAAAAATATTTTGAACTAGGGCGCCTAGGTGGCTCAGTCATTTAAGCGTCTGCCTTCAGCTCAGGTCATGATCCCAGGGTCCTGGGATTAAGCCCCACATCAGGCTCCCAGCTCCACAGGAAGCCTGCTTCTCCCTCTCCTTCTCCTGCTTGTGTTCCCTCTCTCGCTGTCCTCTCTCTGTCAAATAAATAAATAAAATCTTAAAAAATATATATTTTGAACTAAATGAAAATGAAAATACAACTTACCAAATTTGTGAGATGCAGCAAAAGCAGTGCTCAGAGGGAAATGTATAGTACTGGATACATGTTAGAAAAGAAGAAGGATCTAAAATCAATCATCTAGGTTTCCACCTCAGGAAACCACAAAAAATAAAAGCAAATTAAGTCCATAATAAGCAGAAGAAACAAATAAGAATTAAAGCAGAAATCAATAAAATTGAATACAGAAACCAGTAGAAAAAAAAAATCAAGAAAACCAAAAGCTGTTTCTTTGAAAAGAACTTGACAGAGGATACATATTACTAACATCAGAAATGAAAAAAGGTTGCAGATGATATGATACTTTATGTGGAAAACCCAAAAGACTCCACCCCAAAACTGCTAGAACTCATACAGGAATTCAGTAAAGTAGCAGGATATAAAATCAATGCACAGAAGTCAGTGGCATTCCTATACACCAACAACAAGACAGAAGAAAGAGAAATTAAGGAGTCGATCCC